CGGGCAAAATTCAAAATTTCCTACCAACTGAAAATATTAGGTGTGTCCCGCGCGCTCATATGACCTTATGCAGTTGTGAGCGCCGTAAAACACTTTACAAAAACAAAATATATGTGAGGGGCTGTGTGAGGGGTTATGTGAAGGGTTATATGATATGTTGACAAGTACGTGGATAGTCCAGTGAGAGTTGTAAAAGTTTTCTGGAGTGACCTCGGACAGGAGGGGGACAGTGGTCCTGGTGCGTGTCCCTAAACTGGGTCACTTGTCCTCGTGCAAGGATGTCCAGCTCCATGGCTGAGGGGAACTAGGCCGAGTCACATTTAGAGTCCCATGTAAGGTTGTGCGGTTACCGGGGGAACAAGGCCGAGTCCCACGTAGAGTGGTAAGGTTACCGAGGGAACAAGGCCGAGTCCCACGTAGAGTGGTAAGGTTACCGGGGGAACAAGGCGGCGTCCCACGTAGAGTGGTAAGGTTACCGGGGGAACTGAGCAAACACGCGGTGAGCCGTGGAGAACTGAACCTGTTTTGGAACAATGATGTTGGAATGATATAATAAACAATGATTTTACAATGATATATATATATATAATAAACAATAACAAACAATGATATAATAAACAATGATTTTACAATGATAACAAACAATAGTATTAGAATGATAGAATGATATTGCAACGACATACATGTACAATTATACAAGTTATCACACTGATAGAATGATACTGCAATGACATATATATATATATGTGTACAATTATATAAGTTATCACACTGATAGAATGATATAACAATGACATATATATATATATATATGTACAATTATACAAGTTATCACTCTGGTATGACAATCTTGGCCAGGGTCCACAGAAGTGAAAGAGACCCCCGCCTTCCCTGCCCACCGGCCACTCAAGTCTTCCCACAGCCACGAGGATTCCGGAAACTCAAGGTCGGGACTGCCGCCAAGGTCAAGGTTGAATGGATCTCGTTCGGCAGACCTGCTAGATGCTGCTGTCCCTGTGACATCGGAGTCGGCCACCACACCCTCAGCAAAAGCCACAGTGGTGACATCATCGTCAGCGTCTACACCGTCCCCCGGTGCAGCGAGTCGCGCGGCCGCCCTCCATGTAAAGTCCTCATCCTCCCCGACACATTCGGCTCGTGTCACTTCAGAATCTGCCAAAGCAAAACCAGCGGGGGGTAAAGAGGTTCCCGCGGCGAGCTCACGTAAAAGTGATGGCACTGCGGCTAACGAGAAAGTGCCCAAGAAAAGGGGAGGTAAGCTGTCCGTGAAGATTGTCTCAACTTCCGGCAGTTCCAGCAAAGTTGTCTCCCCCTCCTCCTGTGATTCCGGCCTCAAAGACAGCGTCCAGTCAGGGGTCAGTCCGGGGCTAGTCAAGGCCAGCGTCAAGCCGCGGGGCCGCCAGGTGAGCATCCCGGACCGGGTGCCGGAGGTCATCGGGACCGACGGAGGTCTGGACAACCTGGTGACCGACAGCTTGACCTCTGACCTCCCCGAGGACTCGGGGGACATTTACCTGTCGCTGACCGACGAGGAGAAGCAGTTTGCTCTGCTGGCCCTGGGCAACACCGTGTGGAACTCTGACACCAGGAACCTACAGGTGTGCTGCTACGTCTGTTTGTACGTCTGTCTGTCTGTTTGTCTGGAGAACACCGTGTGGAACTCTGACTCCAGGAACCTACAGGTGTGCTGCTCTGTCTGTTTGTATGTCTGTCTGTCTGTTTGTCTGTCTGTTCGTCTGTCTGTTTGTACGTCTGTCTGTCTGTTCGTCTGTCTGTTTGTACGTCTGTCTGTCTGCACGTTTGTCTGACACCAGGAACGTACAGGTGTGCTGCTCTGTCTGTTTGTACGTCTGTCTGTTTGTACGTCTGTCTGTCTGTCAGTCTGTCTGTACATTTCTCTGTCTCTCTGTCCGTCTGTCTGTCTGTCTGTCAATCTGTGTACCTGTGTGTGGTATCTGGAGTGTGTTTCCCCCTGTGTGTATAGATGTGTGTGTTTTTACTGAAGTGTACAGGATGATTACAAAAGAGATAAACAATTTCATTACACAATAGTTCAATAAGGAAAAGCGACAGAACGCCCAAGCTAAGTCACAAGTACTGTACTCACAGTCAACTTTTATTCTATCGGCAGATGTGTGTAAATAAGTGTAATGTTTCTATCGGCAATTGTGTGAGTAAATAAGTGTGATGTTTCTGTTGGCAGGTGTGTGTAAATAAGTGTGATGTGTCTATTGGCAGGTGTGTAAATAAGTGTGATGTGTCTATCGGCAGGTGTGTGTAAATAAGTGTGATGTGTCTATCGGCAGTTGTGTGTAAATAAGTGTGATGTGTCTATCAGCAGTTGTGTGTAAGTAAGTGTGATGTGTCTATCGGCAGGTGTGTGTGGACAAGCGCGCGTGCCGAGAGTTTGAGGAGCTAGAGGTACAGAAGCTGTGGGCGCGAGACGGGTTTCCTGGGGGGCCCGACCGCCAGGCGGAGGCACACACGCGCCCGTTTGGCACCTTCCCACAGGGGGCGGGGGACAAGAGCAGCGGGGGGCGAGTGACCGTCGGTCAGATAAAGTTTGACCAAACTTCACAGGAGTCTGGGGAGAAGGGAGGGGGGATGAAGTCATCGGAGTCGCGTGTGGCAGGGAGGAGGGAGGTCGGGGAGAGGAAGGGGCCGGGCGAACTCCCTCGTGGGAAGACTGCCGGTCAGTGCGGGCCAGACAGGAAGTCCAGCGGTCCGGCGAGTGGTCAATCTGGCAGCTGGCTGCGCTACGGGGACAGTTCTAGCAGCGCCGACTCAGGGGTGGAGCTGGGTGGGGAACAGACGCAACAGCAACAGCAACAACAACATATGTCCTACAGCGTAGGTGACATCACAGACTGCCTGTACCAGACCCCTGAGGACGCACAGACAGACGCACCGACCGTCGCACTGACGGGCAAACACGGTGACGACTCGAACCACGGACCCCCACCACAGGCCAAGTCAAGGTCAGGGTCAGCGGGCACGGGCTCGCGTAAGATGTCAGGGTCGGGTGAGGAGAGCCAGGGGTCGGGGGTCGGGGTGGTGGCGGACATGTCCCTTGACAGCGTGCAGGCCATCGCACTACTCAATGACGTGCTCAAGGACTACGCCGACCTCAACGAGTCCTCCACAGACGACCTTGACCCCTCTGACCCCAAGAAGGACGCAGCAAAAGGAAAAAAGTCCTCGGACTTTGAGGCCCGAATGGCGTGTGTAGCGGCGACGCTTGACCTGACAAAACAGCGTGGCAAACGGCAGGCGCCCCGCCCCCCCCTCTCCCCTCCCCCCGAGCAACCGACAACATCAGATCTCCAATCGTCCAGCGGAACATATCGAACAACACACGAGCTGAAAATGCCACTGGT